GTGGCTCTGGCTTCTGATTGGTCAATAAAGCCTGTTCTGTTGCACCAGTCTTTTACCTATTGGTGCTCGGGTATTCTACAAACCGACGCATAAGAGCGCAGACATATACTACCTCGGCGGCCTCAGCCAATCCTCTGTGTCGCTGTGTTCCAATGGCATGCGAGAAAGATATGCGGCCAACCAGAGACAGAAACGTATGAGAGGGTGTATATGGGTGTCGAAGACATCGTGGGGGACTCGGATGACGTTTAATTCTGGCTTGTTATTGATCAATAAAGCGTTGTCTGTTGTCCTAGTTTTCTTCATACTAAGGCTGGAGTATTCTAACTGACGATCGAAAAAGCGCGGGCTAAAGCTACAAATAAGAACAGCCATTCAGGCTTCGCTCTGAGTATAACTACAGGGGCTTGTCAAATGCAGCCTTGGAGATCAAGTTGCGAGTTGCACAAATGTAGTCTTTATCATATGAAACCAGTCAAGATCAAAACTACAGTCCTATTAAACATATTATTCTCTTATATTTTGGGCAAATTTCCTCTGGAAGGCAGTTTGCTTCTGCAAAACCAATCCATTCACAGTAAATATTCTCAATACTTATACCCATAAAACGTGCTTCTTGTGGGATAGGTACAACTTTACCGTTTTATGATGGAAAATATATTGCACAAGACACGCAGACTAAATTTTGCCATTTCGCGTTGTTAGAAATTGATCAATCTAACAACGTTCTGCGCACACATTTGTAATTGCGATATCTGGATGGTTGATTGTCACGAATTTAAACTTAAGATAATGTGGTGTCTGATGTGCAATCTGCTACATAATACTTACTTTTATGGTGCGTGCATTTTACTCGAGATTTACTTGACACCATCATGCATAAAAACCGTTCAACTAAATTAATGTGTAAAGAGGCTTTGATTAGTTGGAAGTCATACATCTCCTTCATAATTAGGTACATTCCGATAATAATTAAACTTATACCAGAGCGTCCTGGAATGTTTCCTGTAGCCGTTATACTTTGCCTATTTTCACACTCGTGCAAGAGGTTGGTGAAATGACATTTGTCCCATATGATCAGCCGTTTTCCACAACCGCGGTCATTTTCGCTGCAAATACGAAAACATAAGAATTGATTTCTTTAAATCTCTGTCTTATTTTTTTTATAGGAACACCATGAGTAAAGAAACTTCTACACCTTGATCCATTATAATTTTAATCCGATAACTTGTTTGTCATTATGTGACCGGAATATATTATGAAGTCAATCAATTTTGATTTACTGAGTGAATCTATGATATCGAAAATTATTGGTAATAGAAGTCTCAATTTATATAAGATTACAGTCGGGTAAACCTTTGGTAACCGTCTAAAATGCGGCGTCCTAATTTCTTTTGCTAATCCTATAGTTTTGGAATTGAAAATAAGAAGAACGTAAACGTAAATGGAGATTATGGGATCATTACTCTGGAGCATATTCACAGGTTTAAATTTCCAGAACACTTTTACATGTAATTCTTCCTTCTTATTGGGCCAAGAAAATGTTATTTAAACAGTATATTAGGAGCTTAGTAATTGAAACTTTAGTTGACTTATAAACGCTGCATGTAACAAAAAAGAAAAAAATGTCTAAAGAGCAAAAGCAAATATTTAAACGCGCTATATTGGGGATCAGAAAAAGAAGATTTCACTTCTTTACATTTGTATCTCAATAATTTCTCAGAGGAAATCTCTCATGATTTGGTTTTTTGCTTACAGTGCTTTGTTAAAATTAAGTAAGGTAATTACAATGGTCAACATGGATTGAATTGTGACTCTAAATACGAAGTGTTTGCTTACAAAATATTAGACAGTTAAATGCAGTAGGGGCCAATTCTGTGATAAACACAAACCCAATAACAAGCGAGTAAAGATTGAACTAAAGTGTCCGAGTCCTGAACGTACTGAGCTGGTTAAGTAGGAAGCTAGTGATTCAGTGTTAGCATTAGAACATTAAAACAACAAAGGGGCTTATTTGCGCTAATCGCAAGCAAACTATTAAATACATTATAAGAAAACCTTATGGATCCAGCAGTGTCGTGAGTCTTGCCACTTTGCATCTATTAACCTGGTCGTCGCATTTTACAACACATTGTCCCCGTCACAGCATGCCCGTTAGCCCTGGAAGAGCTTGGTAATGCACCACTGTGCTTGTACGTCACCTGCTACCCTTTTTATTCACTTGGACATTCAGCCATTTGTACTTTTAAAAGTACAGCCTCCTTTCTAAGACATGACCTTCTATCCACAGAATGCGACACCCGCAACTAGGTAGAACCTTCAAGCAAACAGCTGTATCCCTTCCATCTCCAGCATTCTTCATCTCTCGAGCACCTGCGTCATTTAATCAGGCTGGTTCAACGCACTGCTGCCGGATTCTTCAATGAAACGTTAGGAATATTTTCGCAACAAAAGGATGTTTGAAAGCAGCCATGCTCACTTTCAAGAAGCCATAAAGGTAATTGAATGTTTAATCGTTTTTGACAGCATATAGAGTGGATATAAACGTTTATATCCGTAACTTGACAGAACAATGAGAACCCCCAAACCCGCACAAACTGTGAAAATTATCGGTTTTCCCATCACACTATTTCAGACTACAAACAAAGACTGCAAATCAACAGAAAACGGCGTTTTTCCTCCACATGTACCAGAAGCACTAACTTGCGTTTGAAAGGTCTAATAGTCAACGTTCAAGGAAAATAAACTACTGTAATCCAAAGTCAAAAAAGTAGAGCGTAAAACAATATCATTAGAAATATCAAGTACATTTAAAATGTGCTAAAAATGTTTGAAGCAAAATTAGTGCGGTAATTATAGGCATCTAAACTGAAGCCCCACTTGTTTAAACAAACATGTGTGCTCTGGCAAAGCGATCAAGTGATTTTGACTAAATCACTTTGTGTGATGTAAATAAATGACCGGTGAAATGGTCTCCTGTGTCGTTAGAAAAAAACTTGAACAAATTTATTGCTGTCTTCTGACCAGAAAATGCGAAGAGTCTGGCGGTAAAGTGATGAAGCAATTTTAGTTTAGTTGAAAACACCAAATTGAACATGGCTACTTTCAGTTAGTCGTGGTTGTTGGTGTGCGGCCTCGGCATCAAGCCCGCACCAAAATTTTGTTCCGTGGGATCAGGTTCTTCCGGTACAGATTTGTATTCCTAAAATGCAGAACAATATTTAAGCAGCCGACTTGTCCTACGCTTCAGTACATTCCTTAAGGTCTTCTTTGGTAATCTACAACTATGAAGAGCTACAATTTTTTCCACCGCTCTATCGCGTGAAATTAACGACTATGTTGAGGTTTTGAGGACTCAGCATCTAGCTTAAGACCCTATGGGCCAGAAAATGATCCGAACTGACGGCTGGAGAATTGGACTTTCATTGAATGGAGTTAGAAGGCACAGTAAATGAACTGTAAATTCGGAAAACGGAGTTGCTAATAGAAGCTGACTACTCTGGCGAAGCCAATGCAATCGTGTGGAGTCATAGTGGTAAACTTGGTGCTATGAACGCAGCTAGAAAGACTACGACAACATCGCAGAAGATGTACTATGTCTCGAGTCAGATATTTACGAATAGAAGCTGAAATTAATTACCATTAGCTTCTGATCCACAATTGGAACTTAAGTCAAAGAAAG